TTAATCGCCCAGAAAAGTTTGTTATCGTGACAGGCCTAAGTGAAGGTTCTTTTTAAACTGTCATATTTTCATAAAACCCTGTAGAACCATCGAACAGAACCTGTGATACCAACAAAACTTTGTGCTACTCATGGGTCAAGAAGTTCTTTGATCTGACTTATAAACTTTTTTTTATCTGACTTATAGTTTTCACACAGAGTCTGAGGCTTACTTTTTATTTGGTGTTTCTGCCTGCTGCCCCTCCCCTTTCTGCACTCCAAAAAAAGGTGGGAATCACCATGGTAACCATTCACTCAGCAGACTGAGGGTCTTCTATATTACCCAGCATGCCTTTCTTCCTTCTGTTCTCCATCACCGTCCCCATAGATCCATCATGCCATCTCTAACTGGACCTTTGATGTTCAGGAGGAGTCAGAGGGTCTGCAGGAAACAGGAAGCAAACTGAACCTGGAGTTTCAAAATAAAGCTCTTGCTTTTGTTAATTTTTCCTGTTTAGATGCTGAGGAATTATTGGTTTCCTGCTTTAATAAAAAAAAAACATTAAAACTCATATTTGGTACCAGAATTTGTTGTTTCTGCAGGGTGTTTGGATAAGAAACGGGTCTGTGATCCGTGGGCTCGACTCGGTTTTTGTGAAAGGAGAAAGGCCTTCATGAAGAAGAACTGTCCTCGACGCTGTGACCTCTGCTACGGTGAGTTTGGGCCAGCAGAGGTTGGTGGTGCTGAACAGTACTGACTGGTTCTGTACTGGACAGTTCTGGTTGGTTCTGAGTATTACAGCAGCACGGCTCTCTTCAGTCTGACACAAACTTTAAACTCACTTCCTGTCTGGATCTCGTTCCCACCTCAGAGCCCCTGGAGGTCGTTGCCACGCCAACGCCATCTTCTGCCAACATCAAGGTCAAGATGGTTCCCCGAGGGAAGGTGGTGGGTTTCCGCTGCGGAACCAAATCTCTCCGCTCCCCCCCAAAAGTCAGGTCAGCTGGTCCGTCGGTCCGGTTTCTTTTTCAGGCTGCAGGTATTGATCGGTACTCACCAACTGAGCCGCTGGAGTTCTGATCAGATCCTGTGTGAAACAGTTGTTGGGCTTCAGAGTCTGACAAGTGAGAAGCCGTCTGATTGACCCAGTTTGATAGATCCAGTGACCACAGCAGGTCCAGTCAGCACCAACATCAATCAGAACTGACCCTTCTTTTCATTAGCTCAGGTTCAGTAAAGGTTCAAGGTTCTTTGTTGTCATTTGCATCACATGTGGTACATGAGGTGGAACAGAATTGAGTACCCAAGGTCCCAGTTACACCCCAAAATAGCAAAAAATATAAAGTATAAAAAAAAACCAGTATACGAGGATCTAAGAAATACACCAAACACTAATAATGTAAAATAATATGGAGTATTAAACAGCAGCCTGAACATGAGTCTGTTGTGAGCAGATGGGTGTGAATACAGCAGCTTATTAGTAAGAAATCAGCAGC